ATTGTCAATTATCATGTACTTTGTTTTATCACAGCGCTATGCAGCTGTGTCCCCTGAAATTCTCAGAAGAGCCTAAATACCATTGTTGTGTTGTCTCAGGACACCATTTTCAGTTCGGGGGTACCCAGTGTCTCATCGCCTCCTACTGCCCTGTGCCCAGCCAAGTGCAGCCTCTGTCACTGTGCGTTAGGATTCTTCTCCAAGACGTTCTAAGTAAATGGCATCATGGAGATATTTCTGTTTGTTTGGCTTTTGATTTTTTTGATTTGGATTTCTTCATTCACAGTGTTTAAGGTTTATTCATTTTGTTGTACATATCCACATTGCTTATTTTTATATTGCTGGGTAATATTCCACTGTATCAATATAATACTGTTTGTTTTATACATTCACCCATTTGGGAAATTGTGGCTGCTTGGGCAGTGTTATACGCATGAAACTGCTGTAGACAGTGTTGTACTCATGTAAGTCTTTGCACAGACACAGGCCTCCTTCTCTCAGGATAAAGATTTGTGAGTGCAATAGCTGGATCACATAGTAGACTTAAGGGTAACATGGTGAGACAGTGGCCAGTGATTTCCAGTGTGGTTGTTCTGTTTTTCATGGCCCCCGCAGTGTGTGAGTTTCATCCTCCACAAACCTGGTAGTACTTGGGATAGTTAGGACCTCCCCTCCCCTCCCCTCCCCTCCCTCCCCCCCTCCCCCCCCGCCCTCCCCTCCCATCTCTTCCCTCCCCAGTGTCATTGCAGAAGCAGGTAAACCCATTGCCTGCAATGCTGGCATCCCATGTGTGTGGCGATTTGTGCCCCGGCTACTCTACTTCTGATCCAGCTCCCTTTTAATGGCCTGGGAAAAGTAACAGAAGGTGGTCCAAGTGTTTGGGTCCCTGCCACCCATGGAGAACCCAGAAGAAGCTCCTGGCTTTGACCTGGCCTAGTCCTGGCTGTTGCAGCCATCTGGGGGTTGAACCAATAGATGGAAGATCTCTGTCTCTCTCTGTAACTCTTTAAAATAAATAACAAATCTTTAAAAAAAGAAAAAAAATACTTTCTTCCTTGCACTGAATTGCTTTTGTATGTCAAAAATCAGCTTTCTCTATATGTATGTGTCTGTTTTGTTTCCCATCCTCCTACTTTCCTCTTTCTTCTATGTACTTGCGTATCCCCTTACTGTCCCTTCTTCTAGATTCACACCAGGGAAGGGTGCAGACTGTGCACCCAGAACCAGAAGTTCTAAGAGGCGATGCAGGTGTGGAATGGAGCTCCTAGACTGGCTAGCAGAGCAAGAGTGAGGAGATCAGGCTCCCATCGTGGCGACAGTAGAGGTAAGTCACGTCCCTCCACCAGCCTCATCTATACAATAGGATAACAGCTGTCAATCCTCCTGACAATGAAGAATACCCTGGAGATGAAGTATGGTCCCATGTTTATATATATTTGGCTGTTTCTGATTTTTAATCCCATTCCTTTGATGATATTTTCTCATTTCACGCCAGTAGCACACTGGATGACTGTAGGTTTAACAAGAATCTTGGCTTCAGGTATGATTGTTCTCTAGCTTTGTTCTTTTACAAAGTTGTATTCACAGTGGAGAACCTTTGCATGTTTACATGAACCTTAACATGATCATCTCAATTTCTTTAAAAAAATGACTGTTGGGATTTAAGTGAATCTATCTATCAGACTGGGGAAAATTGAGATGCTAACAATACTGAGTCTTCTGGTCCATGAATAGAGTGTGTCTCTCGCTGATTTAGATCGTTATTTCTCTTAGTGTTTTGGTGTTAAGTGTACATGCATTGCATATGTGTCATCAGATTATTAGTAAACGTTTATACTCTTTGATGCTTCCATAAATGATATCATTTTTAAAAAGATTTATTCATTTATTTGAAAGGCAGAGCCACAGAGAGGAAGAGGCAGAGAGAGAAAGAGGTCTTTTATACTCTGGTTCACTGCCCAGATGTCTGCAATGGCCATAGCTGGGTCAATCTGAAGCCAGGAGCCAGCAGCTTCTTCCCTTTCCCCCATGCTGGTGCAGGGTGCCAAGGACCTGGGCCATCTTTTACGGCTTTCCCAGGAAACAGCGGAGAGCCAGATCGGAAATGGAGCTGCCAGGAATTGAACCAGCGCCCATATGGGATACCAGCATTGCAGGCAGCGGCTTTACATAGTACACCACAGTGCCGGGCCCAATGATAATCATATTTTTTCCACTTAGTTTTTTTTTTATTGAATGATAATCGTACTTTTAAGATTTTTTTTAAGTTTTTTTTGAGAAGTAATGTGACAGAGGAAGGAAGAGAGAGAAAGAGATCTTCCATTTGCTGGTTCACTCCACAGAAGGCTGTGAGAGCCAGGGCTGGGTCAAGCCAAAACCCAGATCCAGGAACTCCATCCGGTTCTCTTATGTGAGTGGCAGGGACCAAGGACTTACGCCATCTTCTGCTGCTTTCCCAGGTGCATCGGCAGGAAGCTCTATGAGAAGCGGAGTAGCCAGGGCTCTAACTAGCACTTTGATATGTGATGGTAGTGTTGTAAGCAGCAACTTAATCCACTGTGCCACAGTGTGCATGCCAGTTTTTAAAGTACAGTTGCTGTGGGCAGGCGCTGTGGCCCAGTAGGTTAAAGCCCCAGCATGCAGCACTGGCATCCCATACGGGCGCCGGTTTGAGTCCTGGCTGCTCCATTTCCACTCCAGCTCTCTGCTATGGCCTGGGAAAGCAGTAGAAGTGGCCCAAGTCCTTGGGTCCTTGCACTTGCACGGGAGACCAGGAAGAAGCTCCTGGCTCCTGGCTTTGGATCGGCCCAGCTCCAGCCGTTGTAAGAGGACGCTGTGCACCTTCAGGCGAGTGGAGCGTGGTGCCGATTTTCCTCTCCTTCCCAAAACTCCACTGGGACATTAGATGAAAAATTCTGGAGTCATGTATAATTTCTGTCACTTTGCAGTGATAATGATGTGTGTGTTATTTGCATTATCCAGTGCAATTATGAAAAAACTAACATGTGCTTTTCCTGTCTCACAGCACAGCATCTCCGGCCACCGTGACAGGTGCAGATTTCTCCCCACCACAGCTGATCAGCTCTGCAGAGGTTTCCCAGTGGGCAGCCAGGCGACCCTACTTCCATTCAGCTCCACCACTGCCCACCGCGAGGCAGCTTCACATCCCACAGGTGAGGGCCTGTTCCCACTGCAGATACCAGCTTGTGACCCGGGCTTCTGATTGACAGGTTTGCATTGGGATTTCCAGCGGCCATTGGTGACCAACCTTAACCTTCAGCCCCCCTCCCCTCCGCAGAGATTGCGGTGGGGCTGAAAGCGCCAATCCTGTGATCATGCCTTGTTCTCTCTGGGTGAGCGGCCCCATCCTGAAGCCTTCCATGTCCCCAGGCTCCAGGCATCTTATGGTCATACAAAAGAAGTGGCTACTACGCAGCGATGTCAGGTTTTAGAGATTATTCTCAGGACATGGAGGGTAGCAGAGGCCAGATACGTATTTCTTACTATCATAGTGAGTGTTGTTTATCTGTGCAGAATGGGATCATGGTTGGTGTGTACTCTTAGACTGTGTGGCTGTTTCACGAAGTGGTTATATGTTTCTCTTGTCAGCATTTGGAGTTTTCTATTTTTTCGTTTTGAAGATGTATTTATTATTTATTTGAGAAGTAGATTTATAACAGAGAGGGAGAAACAGAAAGGTCTTTGATCTTTGGCCGTAATGGCCAGAGGTGGGCTGATCCGAAGCCGGAGGCAGGAGCTTCTTCTGGGTCTCCCATTAGGTTTAGGGGCCCAAGCACTTAAACCATCTTCTGCTGCTTTCCCAGGCCACAGCAGAGAGCTGGATTGGAAGTGCAGCAGCCAAGTCTCAACCTGGTGCCGATAGGGATGCCTGTGCTGCAGGAGGCGGCTTTACCTGCTCTACCACAGTGCCAGTGCCAGCTCCTGATGTCAACTTCTGAATCTGGTGCTGTGAACATTCTCGTTTGTACTGATGGGGTTCAGGAATAACTACTCCAAAATGTGACACTCTGGCATGCAGAATGTTGTAAGCTTTGAGAAAATGGTAGAAGCAGGGAACCCATTCTCACTGCCGCTCCCTGAAGCAGGTCATCCACCTTAGCTGGGATTTTCTTCCCTTCCCCTCAAGTAGCAACTAGGATGCTCACAGGACAGGTCCCTCTGTCCCCAGAGGACGGGGCCATCCTTATCTCTGAATGAAGGGACACGGAGAACCATCTGAGCCCGCGGGCCTGGGTGAGTGTCCTCTACTTTACTGTCATGTGATCAGACCCCCGCCCCCTGGGGTGTTTCTCCACAACTGTGCCTTGTGCATCAACCCTGGACTAAAACCCTGTGGGCTAGCTGTTTCCTGGGCCTTCAGTTCCTTTATGCTAATTGGTTAGGCAGCAAATCCTCGCTCCTGACCATTCCCCCGTCATTGATGGTTACTGCTCCTCAAGAGTGGCTAGGCACAGACAGCGCCCATGTTACAGCTGTCTGTCTGTGTTACAGGTCTGGGTGCTGGAGAACTGTTACAGCTGTCTCTTACAGCTCTGTTCCAGCCCCTCCTCACGCGTTGGGTCACACCTGCTCCTCTGTGCTGATTCCTGAGGACTGCTGGACTCTTCTGCTGGAGCTGCTCTCCCCTGCCAGGTCTCTTCTCCTCACCAGGAAGACCGAGGCACGCCAGGAACCACTGAGCTCTGGCCGCCAGGCGACCTGCTCAGCATGCCAGGCTCCAAGGTTTCTGTCTCTCAGGGAGGAAGTTTGATGATTGGTCGAACTGTATGCTAAAGAGGAATTCTGTGTGAACAAATCAGGGAGTCAGGAAAACCCACATGCAATTGGCTCAGCGAGGAACCAATCCGCAGTGGCCTACCATGGCGCTCAGGGGACCTAGGGGAGTTAGCAGTGTTCTGAAACAGGTCCTTGGTGGGCGGGGCCTGGCGAGAAGCAGGAGCCAATCAGGAGTGGCCAGAGAGGCTTGCAGGTGCAGGAAGCCACAGGGTCCTTAAACTGTATGGGCCCTCCGGAAAGCCCCGCTGGGTGTCTCTTGGTGTTGAATGTCCGTCAGGTGGGGGAAATATCAGGAAGGAGGGATGAGAATTCCTGGGATCAGCTAATGTACGGTGGGGTTGACCAGGTATCTGCCTCCGGAGGAGACTGTGAGATCCCTTCAGTGACGCTGTTTCTGTGTTCCCGTACACGGAGCCCGTGGTTAGCGGAGCCGGGTGGTTAGCGTCTCCTCATCTGTGCTAGCGCCGGGCAGCCGCTCGGCATGCTGAGTGATGTGACAGGGCCCCCTCAGGGCCTGCCTCGAGCACGGGGCTGCTGCTCAGGAGAGCCCGGCTGGGGTTTAGGCCTTTCCAGAGAGGAAGTTTGCCAATGGCTGGAGGTGCGTGCTCACCGGGTGTTCTCCGGGAAGCAATCAGCCTTAAGGAGGAAGCGCTGCGCCCTAAGGGGCCACGGGGTCAGGGCCAAGGGGAGGGGGAAGGCGGTGAAGAAGAGGAGCTGTGTAGGTGAAGGAACAAGAAGGCACAGCCCACGGGGCTGGGGTGCCGTTTCACTTCCCGGAGGGCGGCCGGCCGGCCAAGGGCTGTGCCTGCAGAACCACCCCAGCAGCAGCCAGAGGGCTCAGAGGGTGCGCGGCCATAGTTCGGCTGTTGGGGGTGCGACGGGGGCTTCTGGTGCAGGGCCCAGAGCTCGCAGGGCGTTCGCCTTTGTGGCTGCACCGCCGGCCCGGGGAGCCCGCAGCAGCCGGCAAGCAGCTCTCTGGGTGACAGGGAAGCAGGCCTTGTTCCCAGATGAGCCAGGTGTGGACAGAGGCCCAGAGACAAACTGCTCGGCTGAGGGCACATTTTGCGTTGGGGGTGGCATTGCCCCGCTAGGAAGAGCCAGGCGTGCAAGGACAGCACCCTGGGTCTGTGCCCGGGGAGTCCTCCCCAGCGTCCATTTTCAGGTGAACTTCCCGGCAGCAGGGCTGTGCTGGGGCAGGCTCACTGCCCCCAGGTGCTGCAGCCTAGGGCCTCTGCTTAGTAAGCCCTCTCAGGTGGTGGCACAGGCTTTTTTCATGGAAAGACCAAGTAACAGGGATTTAAGGAGGCATTTCCTGAGTGGACTAGCAGCCTGTTAATGGCATTTATCTCTGAAACTCATCATGGTGGCTTTGTGGATGTTGACTACTTTTAAGGCAATCCACATGGCCTTGTGTGAGAGGGCTTCCACCTTCAGATGTGTGGACACAGCAGCGGCTCTGAGTCTAACCTTGGTGGGGAGTGAAGCCCCTACAGCGTGTGGAGAGAACGGATCCCACCTCCACCTCTGCCCCGGCCTGGCTTGCTGTGGGTCTCCATGGGGCTGTCTCATGTGGAATGGTGAATGGAGTGTCCCACTGCAGGGTGTCCTGGCGCCACTTTCCATGCAAAGACAGGCGTGTCATGATGGGCCTGTACCGACTCCTGACCTCAGCTTCCCCCGTGTAAAATGGGAGTAATAAAGCTCCGCCTCAGAGTCGGGCAGCCATCAGGGATAACACCTGCTCTAGAGCTCACCAGTCCCTCCCATGCCTCTCTCTGCTGGGTGCTGGGGTATGCACCTGGCTCTGAGGTCCCTGAGCCGTCAGACATGATAATATGCATTCTGCAATGACTGCTCTGGTTTCAGCCATTCTACAGTGGGGGTGTGTGGTAAGCAAGGAGTTTATCTAGTGTTGTTAAATTTGTCAGCTACAGCAATTCAGTGTTTTCAAGAGTAATAGCTTGTCCTTTGTCATATGACAGTGGTACCCCTTGGTGTCCCCAAACACCATTGTTGTGTTTCCCAGGACGTAAGGTTTCGGTTCAGTAGTACCCAGTGTCTCCTCACCTCCTGCTGCCCTATGCCCAGGGAAGCGCAGCGCTCCTGTCCCTGTGCGTTAGGATTCTTGCCCAAGACACTGGAGATGAATGGAGTCTTAGAGATGTGTATGTTTTTGGTGATGTTGATTTGCCTTCTTTGATACGATTTGTTTTTCATTTGACCTGTTTTGTTGCACATGTCCACATTTACTGCTGAGTAGTATTCTGCTCTGGAAGTCTAATATTGTATGTTTTATCCATTCACCACTTGAGGAAATCGTGTGTTGTTTCCATCTGGGGCTGTTGTATGTGAATCTGCCATGGACCATAGTGCACTCATGGGTCTTTGCAGGGACATAGGACTTCTTCCCTAGGACAGATACTTGGGAGTGCACTGGCTACATCATACTGTAGAAGTAAGATTGATGTTGTGGGGGCCGGCTTAGTGACATAGTGGGCTTAGCCTATGCCACTGGTTTGTGTCCTGGCTTCTATTCTTCCAATCTGTCTCTCTGCTTATGGTCTGCGAAAGCAGTAGAAGATGGCCCAAGTATTTGGGCTTCTGTACCTGAGTGGGAGGCTCGGGAGAATTTCTGGCATCTGGCTCTGGATAGGCCCAGCTCCTGCTATTGTGGTCATCTGGGGAGTGAAGCAGCGGATAGAAGACCTTTCTGTCTGTAACTTCGCCTCTCAAATAAATAAAATCTTTTAAAAAATCGATATTGTGATGCACTGACAGATGGTTGCCAGTGTGGTTGCACCAGTTTTCATTGGCCTTGCAGTGTATGAGAGTTTCATCTTACACAAACCTGCTGGTACGTGGGATGGTTGGGGTTTTGATAGACTGTGGTCATTCTCTAGTAATGTAATTGTATTTCATTGTCGTTTTCATTGATCTTTCCCTAAAGATTAATTGTGTTCAGTGATTTCTGTGTTCTTGTTTGACATTTGTATATCTTCTTTAGTGTATCATCTAGTCACTTCTTTAGCCTGTTTCTTTTCTCAAAATTATTTTCTTCATTTGATAGAGCCAGAGAGAGATGGAGTTCGAGATCTCTTCTTTCTGCTGTTTCACTGCCCTAATAGCAACAACAGCCAGGTCTGTGCCAGGATGAAACCAGGAGCCAGGAACTTCATCCTGATCTCCCAAGTGGGTGGCAGGTGCCCCGGTCCCTGGAGTGTGTTCTGCTGCTTTACCAGTGCACTATCAGGCAGCTGTGTCAGAAGCAGAGCTCCTGGTTCCTGAAACAGCACTCTGATACGGAATATCAGCTTCACAAGTGGCGGCTTAACCCGCTGTGCCACAACACTGGTCTGTGCCTGCTTCTTTGTTGGACCATTAGCTGTCTTTTTTATGACTTCTGTGAGGTTTCTCTGTTTTCTGATTAAAAATCAGTTATCACATACATGATGTTAAACTAATTTCTCCGGGCCATGGCCTTGTCTTTTTTTCTGAACACTGTATGGAAAAACTGAAGTTCCTGAATCTGAGGAAGTTTCATTTATTAATTTCTGGATGGGAAGCAGAGCAGTCGGCACTCACACTGATGCTGCTATGGGCTGCTGGTATCCAGGTGGCAGCTTAACCCAGTGTGTACAACGTGGCCCATATTTATTTATGTGAAATGGGGAGAATCTTCCATGCTGTGTTTTATGCCAGAGCCAGAACCCTGTAACTCCATCTGGATCTCCCACATGATGTCAGGGCCCAATGCCTCGGGCCATCTTCTGTTGCTTTCCCAGGGAGCTGCATCGAAACCAGAGCATCCTGGGATCATCCTGTGCTCTGATGTGGGATCCCAGCCTGGAGGCTGCCGCTTCACCCACTGCATGACCACACCAACATCTGAGGTTTTCTTTTGTTCTCTCAGCAATATGGTGGTATTAGGTGTACAAGTTTTGTGCATGTGTAATCAGATTATTTTCAAAAATTCTTACTTTCTCTTGCTTCTGTAGTTGGTATTTGAAAAGATTTATTTATTTACTTACTTATTTACTCATTGAGAGTGAGGGACAGATCTTCCATCTGCATGTTCACTCCCTAAAATAGTCACCACAGCCAGTACTGGGCCAGGTTGAACCCAGAATGCCTGAAGTCCATCCAGGTCTCCCACATGAGTGGCAGGCCCCAAGCACTTGGGCCATCTTCCCCTGCTTTCCTAGGTGCATTATGATGGGGCTGGATTGGAAGCAGAGCAGCTGGGACTTGAACCGGCACTCCGACGTGGGATGACCCTGGTGAGTCGCAGCAGAACTCACTGCGCCACAATGCAGATCCCTATTTTCAAGAACACTTGCTAATTATTGGTGTTGTCTGAACTGTCAGTGACAAGAGTTTCACAGTAGCTGTTGAGGAACTTGTTAGTTGGAAGCTCAGGCTATTGTAGAATGGACAGAGTATTGATGCTTCATTTGTGGTTACTGGTATTTATCAGCTTGTAGAAGGCAATGACAGTCTACTGATACTGGCAAGGCATATGTTCTAGAGAATTCATGCAGCTTCAGAAAAATCCCAGTGAATGCATACTTTAGCCATTTTCCACTTTATATGTGTATTTACAAGTGGATCTGTTGTGTGTGGTTTTCTTTATCCCTGTAAATCCACCTCAGGGAACACCTGGGATTGTGGGTGGTGAGAGCGAGAATGAGAAACAGCGTGTGTGTGTGTGTGTGTGTGTGTGTGTGTCACTGAGGCTCCCAGGTGTGTTTATGGCAAGGGTACTTCATCACTGGCCATGCCCGTTATACTTGCTTCCTAGACACACGGAACAGGTTTCCTTTCCCAGCACGGGTACCATGGGGGCTCAGTGACTGCTGACATTTTGTCTTTGGTGTGGATTTCTGGAAGAGAGACAGCCGGTCCCAGGAGAGAACAACTGTGTAATCACAGGAGGTGACTTCAAGTCCCCTCCACGGGGCATCTGCTACATGACATTTTGAAGGGACGTCTCTTCCAGCCTGTTCAGAAACCACATGCTCCATCCCAGGAAAGGCTAAAGGGAGAGGGAAGCCTGTGGCCCCACCCATGAGACCACGCAGGGTGACCTTGGCCCTTTCTGCATCTGTGAGTGGGGTCCCTTCAGGAGACAGCTGCCCCTTAGTGCTGGGTGCCTCAGTTTCCCAGGGTTAATCCTCTCCCCACTCACCCCCATCATTGCTGTGCAGATGCTGAGTTTCCAGCATTCAGGGTGAAGGTCAGGCTGACCTTGCCTGGAATGGGGTCCGTTTGAGGCCCTAGAGCATGGGCTGGACTCTGCCATCCGTGTTGCTCCAGTGTTGCTCCCTTGACAGAGGACTTGAGATGGACTCAGAAGGTGGAGGAGGCTGTGCCGACTGCACTGAGAGGGCCTGGTGCCCCATGAACCCCACTGTGTATCTACTACATTCACTAGATGGAGCTGTGGGAGTGGGCGGGAAATGAAACCATGCATGTATCCTGTCAGCCTTTGTAAACATATAGATTTTTAAGGGGAGTTGGAGAAACACTGTAGTGTTTTTGTGTTATCACCTTTGAGGGAAAATCTGTTTAAAAAATTTAGTTGGGGATGGGGGCACAAAAATAACCTGAAGAAAGGGGATAACACTGTCACCTGGTGACCAGGGTCAGAACTGCAGGAGTAAGGTTTCAACCAGGGTAGAGGGTTGGAGGGGAGTGAGTTTCATGGATTCCATTGTATAGAGCAAAGCTTTCTGAAATTTTCTGCACACTCATCACAATCTTCCTATAGTCATGTGTTCCCTGGGATCTTTCAGCTCTGGGACTACAGTCCAGCCTGTTTGTGAACTGAGTGGAAAACTGCTGGACTTGGTATGTGAACAGCTGTTGCGAAGAAGCCTGAGAGACAAACAAGCACACACCCATGCACACAGACACACTGTCAGATAACTTGTTTTTATCTGCTATTTTGCACGGAAAACAGTATTCTGTGAACTTGCTTACACAGCAAAGACTAGAGAGAACTGTTTCGAAACAGTTCAGTTATTTCATGTTTTGAGCATTTTGTACAATAAAGTCTCCTTATTAGAAACACTAGAGTTTCCATATTTAAAACTCAGGTAAATTGGGGCTGGTGCTCTGATGTAATGGAGCGGGTAAAGCCACCACCTCTAGTGCCGGCATCTCATATGGGTGCTGGTTCGAGTCCTGGCTGTTCCCCTTTGATCCAGCTCTCTGCTGTGGCCTGGGAAAGCAGTAGAAGATGGCCCAAGTCCTTGGGCCCCTGCACCCATTATGTGGGAGACCTGGAGGAAGCTCCTGGATTCTGGCTTTGGATCAGCCCAGCTCTGGTCGACCATCTGGGTAGTAAGCCAGAAAATGGAAGACTTCTCTCTCTCTGCTTCTGCCTCTGCCTTTCTGTAACTCTGCCTTTCAAATAAAGAAATAATTAAAAAAAAAAACTCAGGTAAATTCGTAAGGGATTTCTCTACCTCACCCATTGCAGCACGGTGCATTAAATGAATCCATTTAATGTGTCTTTTTCACCCATCAGACTCTGAATATGATTCTTTGTAAGCCTATTTCCACGCTATCATCTTGTGATTTGGTTCATTATCTGTGTTTACAAACTTTGTTATCTTAAAAACTGTATCTCAATATCTTTCTCACATTACCCATTAATTGTTTTTGATATTTAAAACATGAAGGATAATTCAAAAGTGTACTATAAATTGAAATCATTTGTCTTCTCTTTCTGTCCCCACTGTTACCCCATCTGTAGTAATACAAAGACCATGTCTCTTAATTGTGGTAGCTACTCTTCGTGTTTTTCTCCATATGTGTATAGTAACGTATTTAATCACAGCATCTGTAAACTATATGTACATGTATTTATATATATTTTTACATATATATCTTGTATAATGGAGTCATATTCTATATTTGTCACTTGCCTGATTGATTTTATTTTTCTTGTTTGTTTCTGTATGTTAATGGGTGATTTTATCTGTATCTTTTCATTATTCTTACTTGTATTTTTACTTATTACAAAGGCAGACATGCACAAAGGGAGACAGAGACACACAGGGATCGTCCATCTACCCTCTCATTCCTCAGATGCCTGCAGCTGCTGGAACTGGGCTAGGGCCATGCCAGGATTTCAAACTGAACCTGGGTTTCCCATGTGGGTGTCCAGGGTTCCCAGAACTCGAGACGTTATCTGCTGCCTCTCAGGGTGCTTTAGCTGGCAGGTGGAATCAGAAGCAGAATCTTGAACTCAGGGACTCTGGTATGTGATGCAGGAGTCCTAAGTGGTGATTTGAGTGCTTGCCGTATGCTGTCCCTTAATTGTCTTTTGTACATTGTCTCTTCATTTTGTTTTGGAGGAGAAGCTGTGTTATTGTATACAGGAATCTCAATAGTGCACACTGATCCTGCTTTGTGGGCTTGGGGTGACAGGACCAGTACTGGGCACTGGCAAGCACTAATTCTTGGTTCACTGATCTTAAGCAAGCTGGGCATTCAAATACCATGTGGCCTATAACTGCATCTTTTTATTGATCATTGGTGATGATGGTGATTCCTGCCACCCATCCCGAGAGTAAATGGTAGGAGTGGGGATTCTATTGCAGGCTTCCATGGACTGTGATGTTTTTTCCCCTCGGACAGAGCGGTTGACGTGCAGACGAATGAGATTTACTGAAGTCTCCTGAGCTGAAGCAGGTGTTAACTCATTGAATGTGGTGCTTGTCTTGCGTGTTCACACAGATGCTATGTTCAGGGTGTAGAGTTGGGTCCACTGGTAAAGGATTCATTGAACACTGGAGTTCAGGGGTGTTTGGTGCAGCAGTTAAGGAACCATCTGGGAGGATGGCACCCATCTGTGAGTGCTTGAGTTCTAGTTCCAGCTACCATTCCAATTCTAGCTACCTGTCAATTCATACCCTGTGGGGCAGCAGGTAATGGCTTAGGTAGCTGGCTCCCTGCCATCCATGTGGGAGACCCAGACTGAGTTCCAGGTCCTCCCTGGGCTATGCAGTGTGATGGACTGGGTAGGGAGGACTCCTCACTTCTCATGGAATAATTGTGATTTTTCAGTGCTCTGTTGGGCCCTCTATATTCCCCCTGTGGTGCACATGACCTGGGGCTCTGCCACCTTACTGGAGTTGCAAAGGCCTGACTGAGGGTGTGCAGGCAGGGACAATGGAGGGAGCGTGAGGAGCTCTCCTGGGTCCAGTGCCTGAGCCTCCCCAGGGCGACATCCTCCTCCTCCCTAGACTGGGCACCCTCACCCAGGGGTTCACTGAGCAGCCGCCACTCTTCACATGGCCAGAGGCCCCCGTGGCATGAAGAAGTCACAGTAGTCCCTGCACACGCTGCAGGCTCTGCTGGGAGTTACGGGGCACTCTGTGGAAACTCCATACTATGGAATTGTGGGGTATAGCATCTGGAGCCATTGGAGAATCCTCAGGGAGGAGCTGGGCAGGGCTCACAGGGGCTGAAAGGGATGAAGGAGACAGGGAGCCCAGCCTGGTGACAGCGAGGATGAGGGTGCCCCCAAGGAAGCAGACGGGGCTCTGGATAGCTGCATGCTCACTCAGAGTCAGAGGCCACTTGGAGTCGGTCCAGATTGCGGAAGGACACATGGGCTTCGGCGGGATGCCGCAGAGCTCCTGTCCACCCTGAAACTGATGAACGATGAGGAGCACGGAGCCCTGTGCATGCTCCCCGATCCACAGGGCAGGGCACATGGAGCACTCACGGTGCTGAAGAGCTGGATGCTCCGTTCCCTCGGCCTTCACTGAAGTGGGAAGCCGACATCAAGGGGCAGGACTTACCACTAACTGAGCCCCACCCTGTCTGCAGCCCACACACCTGCTTTAGCGTCTCTGAACCTGCTCCTATGTCTCCCATCTGCCTGTGAGTTTCTGCCTTCCCCAGGAGTCACATCCTCCATCCCAGCACCCTCTCATTTGTTTCCCTCCATGTCCTCCTGGAGCTTGTCCAGGGGGCTTTTCTCCTCCTTTATTGTCTTGGCTCTTATCATCTCAAGGACTTGGGTCACAGCCCAGCACTGCTCTGAAAGGTTCCGGGGATATTTAGCACCTTTATGAATTTTGCAATTGCTTTCATGCACTTATCATTGCTGCAGAACTCATTTTGATACCAACTACTCCACCTTTAAGCAGATCGAATTGGTTGATCACACACCCCCTTGGGGGTGGATGACGGTGCAGAGTGGACACATGGACTCACCATACTCTCCTGAAATGTGCACTTTTCAGTCTACGGTACCTGACGTGTCCTCTATGTTTAGTAGGGTCTCTGCTCATGATTTCCCCTGGGATGTGACATTCGTTTCTGGATCTCACACCTGTGATCTGCACACGTTCCTCACACACACTTGTCCCTATCCCTGTGAGTGCTATTTGTATATCTCCTGTGATTTACCAGAGAGGCCCATGATCAGTCCCCTTTCATTTGTCTCTGAATCCACATGTCTGCCAACTTCCTGTTTTTGAGGATTAACAAATATACAGATGATTCCCAGGTTCCCTGAGTCCTCTGACCTGGGAGCAGAGGCATTTGTCATCCAGGGAGTGACACTCAGTGGTGTTAGCACATTTGGGGTGTCTGGAAAGAATTGTCTTCCAATAGACGTGTACTCTGCAGGAGGGGACAGGAGCGTTGAGGTCACCAGAACCATGGGTCAAGAGAAGACGTGCTCACCTGCTTATTGTCTATTTACAGCATGGAGAAACTGTTTGCCTCTCCCAAGACAGCTGCCACTCACTGATTCCTGCAATGATAGGGGCCCTGGACAGTGGAGACTGCTGCCTGCTCAGCTCCTTCCAACGCTGTGAGTGAAGCCCCTCTCTGCTTGAGTCTTCAGTGATTCCTCTCTATGGACTGATGACTGCATCCACTAATGTGTGACTTCTTGCCTCCACCACGAAGTTAAATATGGCAATCTCAAGAGGGGATGAAAAATCTCTTGTCTAAAAGTGTATTTGTGTTCTTTCTGCTGTTCTTCCTCCTCCAGATAGTCTTAAATCTTTTCTTTGGAGCCTTCCCTTCCATTCGCAGAACCTTTCAGCCGTTCTCTCGGGCTCTGTGGTCCACTGTGAAATCTCTTAGTTTCCTATCGTGTGAGAGTCTCTCTTAATATCCACTGGTTCCTGCAGGATGATTTGTCTGGACATTGAGTTCCCGGCTGACACTTCTTTTATTTCAGCATTTCAGAAGTTTTGTGTCCTCTTCTTTTGGACAGCAGGGTTTCCAGAAGAAATTTGCTCTTTGGTATTCTTTTGGCCTGTAGATGATATGTAGTTTTCCTCTTCCCCCATTTCAACATTTTGTCTGTCTGTAGTTTGCTGATTTTTTACTATCATGTACCTTCTCATGAGTTTGTTTGGGCTTATTATATTTTAGTTTCACTCAGCTCCTTCAAATTGTGGATTTTAATCTGTCGGATTGATGGTTGTTGGCCATTATTATTTGACTACGTTTTCACCCATGCCTTCTTTCTTTTCCTTCCAGGAAACAAAAACAATAGGAATGTTAAATCCTTTACTAATGCCTCCTGTGTCCCTCAGAATTTGTTCTTTTTTAAAAAAAATTTTATATGTTTCTCTGATTGTATAATTTATATCTTTTTGTCTTCCAGTTGTTTTCTCTGTTCTAATTTTGTGTCTATCCATGTAGATTTTCCTTCAGTTATTGTATGTTTTAGTTCTAAAATTCCCCACTGGCTCTTGTTTATATCTTATTATTTGCAGAGATTCTGTACTTTCGCTTGTTTCATGTAGTTTTGTACTTCCCTGGGAAGCATCTTTAGGAAGCCTGCTTTGAAATTCTGGTGAGACCATTCTGACATCTGTGTCACGTCAGGACTGGCATCTGGGCACTGAGTTTCTCACTGAAGCTGAGATTCTCCTGGTCTTAGAAGAGGGAACTCTGACTGTCCTCAAATATTTTGGTATGGTTCCTAAGAGTCTGTGTCTGATTTAAATGATCTATGTTGAGAAGTATCTGGTGCCCCTGTACCCATGGAGAGCTGGGTTTCTGATCCTTACCTGTCAGGAGAGGGTAAGGGTTTACCCTGCCTCCTCTGATACTCTGAGATAACAGACTCCTTTTCCCAGGTAGGGGTGGGTGGCATGGTGCCTGCATGGTGTGCTGTGTTTCCACTCCAGAGGTTGGCCAGGTCTCTCAGTAGAGTCATGTGAGAACGGCCACGCAGGCTTTTTTTGGCCAGGAGAGCAGGGTTTCCTTGGGGTTCCTTTTGTGTAGGGCTGTTGGCATTCCTAGGGGAGCCGCCTTCATCACCCAGGCTGGGATATGTGGGCCAGTGAGGAAACACAGATAATTTTCTCTCATATTGCTTCTTGGAACACGGTTCCTCTGGTGTCTCCCTGGTCTTCCTCCATCCATGTTCTGAGTGTCTTATGTTACTTTTTTTTTTAAAGAGTTATTTATTTACTTCAAAGAGTTAACACAGAGAGAAGGAGAGGCAGAGAGAGAGAGAGAGAGAGAGAGAGAGAGAAAGAGAGAGGTCTTCCATCTGCTGGTTCACTCCCCAGATGGCTGCAATGGCCGGGGCTGCACCAATACGAAACCAGGAGCCAGGAGCTTCTTCCGGGTCTCCCTCAAGGGTGCAGGGGCCCAAGGACTTGGGCCATCTTCTACTGCTTTCCCAAGCCATAAGCAGAGAGCTGGACTGGAAGTGGAGCAGCCAGGACTCGAACCAGTGGCCATATGGGATGCAGGCACTACAGGCGAGGGCTTTACCCGCTATGCCACAGAGCCAGCCCTTATGTTACTTTTATACCGACAGCCCTGGGTATTACCTGTAGCTCTCCTGAGTACTAGGGAGAAACGCATTGGCTGTAAAAGAAAGGATGACTGAAAGTCACAGACTGCTAGGGACTCTTGGGTTTTTGCCTTTTCAGCAGGCAGCAGGTGGCTGAAATCCTGGTGTGATGTGGCTACACAACATGTAACCTGCAACCCAGCACCAGAGACTTCAGCATAGGTCTAGAAATTTCCTATACACGTCTCAACCTACTGAGCACCGCAGGAGGAGTCACTGGGACAACTCTTCACATGGGTTCTGTGCCCGCTGACAGAACTCGGGAGGTGAGTTCACAGATGTACGCACACCTGCCATGTCAGCGTGGGGCCCTGGACTTGGGTGTGCTCAGAGGTGTGGTGACCAGTGCTTATGAGATTATGAAATATCAAGAGGGCAGAGAGCCTTCTGGCAGTAAGACTCTGAACTCTGGGCAATCAGATGTGTATTTGCTTCCCTGCTCTAGACGTGTGTGCCCCCATCAGGGGAAACAGTGAGACGTGAGGGGCACAGTGCCTGCACTTCTCAGGTGAACCCGTTAGGTTCTTCCTCACAGGTGACAAGGTTATTCCCCAGCTGCAAAACCTGTCTTCTCCGAGTTCCTCTCTTGAATCAGGACTGGCACAGTTGGGGAAGATGTGTGGGGGCATTTGTTCTTGTAGCTGTGGTGCAAGAAGTCGCAGCCCGTAGTCATGTGAACACATTTCTTCCAGAATGTTGAAATTACCATGCCATGTGATTTCACTTGTGGTTTTGCTTTTTTTTTTTTTTTTTCACAGCACCCGACTGTTTCATCCTTTGCTGCCAGCAGGTTTATTTTACCTGTATTCTTTGATGTAAATTCAGGTACGTCACTATTTATTACAAACTGCAGTACCCCTAACACCACTGCCCATGTACGTACAAATATACTTGTAATCCTTTCTCTGCACTAAGTTTCTCAAAATTTCCAAAACCGTGAAATGTATAGGATTTTGAATTAAGCAGTATGTTAAGTACCGTTACTACTGCATGTTTGGAACATGCAGTAGATCAAAGTGTTTCTCTGCACTCCCTCACCCATATGGGATGCCAGCACCACAGGTGGATGCCTAACACCACAGTGCCAGCCCCATGGGGATACATACTGGGTTTCAGATATTTGGGTCCACCATAAGGTTCTGCAGTCAGTACGAGGGAGGTGGGACCTATCCATTTATTTAGTGATTTTTTCCAGTTGGTTCTAACTCTCTCCCAGGTTGGAAATTCAAAGCTGAGGATTTGGTACGAGGTCTTCCTCATACTTGGACTTTGACGTGTAATTACGTCGTTGGTCGCCCCTGCTACTTTGCTGTGAAGATCGTGTCCTCTCTGGTGTGTCTGACAGGTGAGAGGTCTTCCCCTGAGGAACCTTCAGTCAGCAGTGTGCAGGGGAGGCTGTGATCGGGGCACTGGGAACAGCACAGGGGACAAGAGGCTGTGTCCCTCGAGCTGTCAGTCCAGCTGGGCAGAACTGGCAGTCAGCAGTAACCACACCCAGTTGCAGTGGTGATCTCATTTCCTGATTTCCGCTTTGAAGAAAACAGGCACAGATATGGTAGGGGATGCCTGGGAGCAGGATTAGAATGGAAGGGGTGTGAGGGCAGTGCTTTCTGAAGTGACTCTCGAGCTGAGTCTCAAGTGACAAGCATCCAGGCACGGACGGATAATTTTACCAGTGTCACTACCCAGTGTGAGGCACCAATTGGGCCAGTAGCAGAGGGAAAGCTGGTATGGCTGCAGCCTGGCGGACACGGTGCACTCACTGGGAGGGGACGTGAAGGGGCCGATGGGAGCCATGTGCACTGGGCCAGGTCAGGATTCAGCTAGGATTCTGAGTGAGGAGGGTTAGAGTCTGGGAGAGACGCGATCTGATTCTTGTTGTCAGGAGACGCTGGCCAGGATGTGGGAATGGACTGGTGAGGACAAGACAGTGTGGGCGCCATCAGGGGACGTTGAGGAGGCCAGGGGAGGGAGGGGGGATGGGTCGGTACTGCAGTGAGCAGAGGGAGGGCTGCTCCTGTGCAGCGCACCTGGAGGTAGGGCAGGGGAGCCCTCAGTGGCTGAGCCTGGGGGTGTGTGGGCCCAGGCAGAATCAGGGCCGCTCCCTGTTCCTGTGTGCAGTAAGTCACCTTTCAGCGGCTCAGAGGGCACCTGCTTGTCTGAGGTTACCTGGAGGGATGGAAGAGGACGCTGTGCACCTTCAGACGAGAGGAGCGTGGTGCTGATTTTCCTCTCCTTCCCCAACTCCACTGGGACGTTACAAGTAAAAGTCTTCACCCAACAGGTGCTCTTCTGTGTCTGGCTGCTTCCGTCGTTACAGTGTGTGAGTCTTTGGAGTTATTCTGATAGGGTATGAAAAAAAACAAAGTGTGTTTTCCCTGCTGTCACACTAATTACAACCCAGCGTGTCCGGCCACCAAGATGTGAGGCAATTTCTCACTTCCCACAGCCACTCGGTTCTGAGGCAGATTTCCCAGTGGATGGCAGCTGGTGACCCACAGTTTTGTTCAGTTCCAGCTCTGCCCACCTGAGGCAGTGTGGCATCCCACAGGTGAGGACCCAGTCCCAGGACCCCATACCCACTCCAGGGGCCAGGTTGTGACCTGTGCTCAGATCGACCAACATAAATTGGGGATCCCATGACCGCCTCACCCTGGAGTTTAACTGATTTCCTAGAGCAGCTCACAGAACCCAGGGAAACATGTCACCTGTGTTCGCCCATGTATTATAATGGAATTACCGAGGATACAGAAGAACAGCCACATGGCCGAGATGCCCGAGGCTGGACCTGTGGGAGGGGGTGGAGCTCCCGTGCCCTCCCAGGTGTGCCACCCTCCAGAAACCTGCCCGTGTTCTGCAACCAGGAAGTCCATCTGAACTCTGACCTTTGGGTCTCTGTGAAGGCTGCCTCACCTAGGCTTGTTGGATGACATCACTGGCCAGTGTGACCAACTTAACCTTCAGCTGCCCTCTGGGGTTGAAAGTGCCAATCCTGTGATCATGCCTTGTTCTCTCTGGATGAGCAGCCACATCCTGACGCCTTCCAGGTCCCCATACAAAAGAAGTGGTTACCATGCAGAGATGTCAAAGGTTTTAGAGCTTATTCGCAGGACATGGAGGGCAGAGACCAGATATGTATTTCTTCCTGTCATAGTGAGTGTTGTTTCTGTGTAGAATGGGATCATGGTTGGTGTGCACTCTTAGACTGTGTGGCTATGTTCCTCTTGTCAGGTTTGGAGTTTTCCACTTCTTTGTAAAGATGTATTATTTATTTGAGAGGTGGAGTTACAAAGAGGGAGAGACAGAAATGTCTAACATCGGGGTTCACTTGCATAATCCCAGAGGTGTGCCAATCCGAAGCCAGGAGCTTCTTCTGGGGTTCCACATGAGTGCATGTGCCCAGGCACTTAGACCATCTTCTGCTGCTTTCCCAGGCCATAGCAGAGTTTGATTGGAAGAGGAGCAACCAGGTCTCGACCCGGTGACCATAGGGAAGCCTGTGCTGCAGGATGAGGCTTTACCTGCTATGCTATAGCACCGGCCCCAGTTTCCAACTGTGAATTCTAGTGCTGTGAACATTCTCGTTTGTACTGATGGGGTTCAGGAATAACTACTCCAAAACGTGACACTCTGGCATGCAGAATGTCGTAAGCTTTGAGAAAATGGTAGAAGCAGGGAACCCATTCTCACTCCCGCTCCCTGAAGCAGGTCATCCGCCCTAGCTGGGATTTTCTTCCCTTCCCCTCAAGTAGCAACTAGGATGCTCACAGGACAGGTCCCTCTGTCCCCAGAGGACGGGGCCATCCTTATCTCTGAATGAAAGGACACGGAGAACCATCTGAGCCCGCAGGCCTGGGTGAGTGTCCTCTACTTTACTGTCATGTGATCAGACCCCTGCCCCCTGGGGTGTTTCTCCACAACTGTGCCTTGTGCATCAACCCTGGACTAAAACCCTGTGGGCTAGCTGTTTCCTGGGCCTTCAGTTCCTTACACGGCCTCCTATGTCATGTAGAACTTACATTACATGTATTTTATATTTCCCATTTGCTAATCTCATTGTTACAGGGCTCTAGGCTGTGAGCATTGGATGTATAGAGGAAAAGGTGTTTCTGTCCCCCTGGAATCTTATGCATGAACGTTCATTTCCATTCCTCTTGCACCTACAGATGAGGGGCAGTTTTTTTTTTTTTTTAAGATTTTATTTCTTTATTTCAGAGCCAGAATGATGGAGAAAGGTCTTCCTTCCACTGGTTCACTCTCCAAATGGCCACCATGGGCAGAGCTGGGTTGATCAGGAGCCAGCTGCGTTCCAGTTCTCCCACACGGGTGCAGGGGCCCAAGCACTTGGGCCATCTTCTACTGCTTTCCCAGATGACAGCAGAGAGCTGGATTGGAAGTGGAGCAGCTGGAACTCAAACCAGCGCCCATATGGGATGCTGGCACTGCAGGCAGCAGCTTTACCTGCTAGGCCACAGTGCCAGCCCCAGTCTGAACATTTTGTACAATAAAGCTTACATATTTAAAACGCAGGTAAATTTATTAAATGAGAATCTTCTACCTCCCCCCACTGTCTGCACAGCACATTAAATAAATCTGTCATTTTCACCCATCAGATTCTGAACATGATTCTTAGTGTACTTCCCCATCATTTTGTGATGTGGTTCATGGTTTCAGTATGCACAAAGCTTTCTTATTTTAAAAACTAACTCAGGAGCTGGCCTGTGGTACAATGGTTTAAGCTGCTGCTTGCAATGTCGGCATGCCATACTGGAGTGCTGGCTCAAGTCCCCGCTGCTCTGCCTCTGATCCAACTCCCTGCTACTGTGCCTTTGAAAGCAGTGGGAGATGGCCCACGTGCTCAGGCTCATGCCACTCACATAGGAGACCCAAATGGAGTTCCTAGCTCCTGGTTTGGGTCTGGCCAAGACCTAGATGTCACGGCCATTTGGGGAGTGAACCAGAAAACAGAAGTCTGCCTCTCTCTGCCTTCCAACTAATCTGAATATCTTTGTCAATTTAACCAATAATTCCTTTTGCCATTTAAGACATATCAAAGACAATTAGAATGTTGAGCCAGAATTGTGGCACAGTGCATTAAACCACTGCTGTGATGCCCACATCCCATATTTTAATGCCAATCCCGCTGCCTGCTAATGTACCTGGGAGATCTAGATGCCATTCCAGGCTTCTGCCATTTCCAGAGTTGACCCGTGAATAGAAGATCTCTGTCTCTCCCCTTCTCGGTTACTCTCCTTTCAAATAAATAAAACATCTTTAAATAAAATATATATTAGAAGTTAAAATTACTTTGTATCTTTCTGTTCCCACTTATACCCCAATCCCAGATACAAAGACCTTTTCTTATTGGCACCTATTTTCCATATGTATACCATAACATACCTATAAGTTATTTAAGTATATTCTCTACCACGATGGAACAATATTGTACATTATATTTTGTGACTTACCTAATTAACTAAACATGATTATTATTTATTTTTTTCTTTCTGCTTCCTTTCATTTGTTTTCATATCAACGAAATTTTTTTTACAGTTTTTAAAGTTTATTTTTATTAGAAAGGCAGACACACAAAAAGAGAAGACAGAGTGAGACTGATATTTTTGGTCCACTTCTTAACTCTTCAAATGCCTGTAGTAGTTGGAACTGGGCTAGGCCCAAGCCCGGAGTTTCAACTCAATCCCACTCTCCCACGATGATGTCCCGGGACCCAAGAACATGAGCCATCCCCTGCTCTCTGCCAGGGTGCACTTCAGCCAGAAGCTGGAATCAGGAGAACTGGGCCCCGAGCCAGGCACTCTGATCTGGGATGCGGCTGCCCAAGCAGCAATCTAACTGCTGCGCCCAACGCCTGCCCCTTATTCTGCTTCTGTTGTGCGCTCTTAATAGCATTGACTTTTTTTTTTAAGATTTATTTACCTACCTGAAAGGTGAGCTACAGAGACAGAGGTCTTCCATGCAATGTTTCCCTCCCCAGATGGCCACAATGGCTGGAGCTGCACCGATCTGAAGCCAGGAGCTTCTTCCAGGTCTCCCACATGGGTACAGGGGCCCAGAGACTTGGGCCATACTCCACTGCCCTCCCAGGCCACAGCAGAGAGCTGGACTGGAAGTGGAACAGCCAGGACTTGAACCAGCACCCACATAGGATGCCGGCACTTGCAGGCGGTGGCTTTACCTGCTATGCCACAGCACCAGCCCCAATACCATTGACTTCTTTTTTTTTTTTTTTTGACAGGCAGAGTGGACAGTGAGAGAGACAGAGAGAAAGGTCTTCCTTTTTGCCGCTGGTTCACCCTCCAATGGCTGCCGCGGCTGGCGCGCTGCGGCTGGCGCACCACGCTGATCCGAAGGCAGGAGCCAGGTGCTTCTTCCTGGTCTCCCATGGGGGTGCAGGGTCCAAGCACCTGGACCATCCTCCACTGCACTCCCTGGCCACAGCAGAGAGCTGGCCTGGAAGGGGGGCAACTGGGACAGAATCCAGCGCCCCAACTGGGACTAGAACCCGGTGTGCCGGCACCGCTAGGTGGAGGATTAGCCTATTGAGCCGCGGCGCCGGCCCACCATTGACTTCTAAGAGTAATTCATACCTCAGGGATACAAAACTGGTAGAGGTTGGAAGTAAGTTTTCCTGGGTGTCACACTTCTTTGTTTTCTGCTTTAACCACACTTGCGGAATTTTATGTAGTATTGATAATGTTTGGTAATACACTGTTTTTAAGGGAACAACTCGATAATAATGGTTTGTACATTAAATGCCTATCATTGTTAGTTTCCTCTGCACCCACTGTCCTCTGGGCTGTCTTATGAACAGTGACTGTCTTTCAGTCTCAGAGCAGGAATTTGTAGTTTCCCGCCCAGGTCAGTTAAGCTAATGTTGTATTTATGTTCCCGGTGCTGGGCAGCAGTCTGAGGGTTAAGACGGGACGGAGGGTGAAACCCGCTCCCTGCAGCAGGTGTGTGCACGTGAGCAGCCTGGCCATCAGCTGCCCTCTCAAGGGACAGGAGCTTGTGCTGCCCCCTGGGTGCAGTTCCGCCTCTCAGGGCACACCCAGGCAGGCCTCTTAGCCCACGGGGCAGGATTTCATCCCACCATCACCATCAGCAACAGAACACTTAACACAGTGCCCGACTGCAACAAGGGAGCTGCCACAATCGGTGCTCTGGCTGTTGCTGCCATCTTGGGAGTACACCAGTCTCTCTGCCTCTGCACCTCTGTAAGTGCCTTTCAAATAAATAAATCAATCTTATTTTCTTTTGTAAAGTCAGAACATCTAATATTTGAGAATGTTTCACCTGCATATTAATTAGTATGTAGGAAAGTTCAGGTTTTAAAAAGCCAGCATGGGGCCGGTGCTGTGGCTCACTTGGTTAATCCTCTGCCTACAGCGCCGGCATCCCATATGGGTGCCAGGTTTTAGTCCCGGTTGCTCCTCTTCCAGTCCAGCTCTCTGCTGTGGCCCGGGAGTGCAGTGGAGGATGGCCCAAGTGCTTGGGCCCTGCACCCGCATGGGAGACCAGGAAGAAGCACCTGGCTCCTGGCTTCGGATCGGCGCAGCGCGCCAGCCATAGCAACCATTTGGGGGGTGAACCAACGGAAGGAAGACCTTTCTCTCTGTCTCTCTCACTGTCCACTCTGCCTGTCAAAAAAAATTTAAAAAAGACATGACTCCTGGGGGAGGGAGGAGCTCGCAGGCAGATGGGAGTCCCAGGCATCATGGGCACTATGCATTACCTTGTAATTCCATTTTCCAATAGCTGGACTTTCAGATAGCCGGGCAAGCTGGAGGACAAGAACGCTGCAAGGTGCTGTGTGCATCTGAGGGGTGTTTGCGTGCGTACTCAGTGATGGCAAAAACAGTAGTATCGTTCTGTTCATCGGAGCTGTCATGTGGAGGACAAGGATAAAGCCAGACGTAGCAATTACATACATGTCCTGGACAGGGACTACAGCTATGGGAGAAGAAAGGGGATGCAGTCAGGGAGGGATAAGGTTTATTTCCTTTCTGTGGTTAGTTCCTTACGTAGCAGATAGGTTAGCAACTACATTTTTATCTTACATGTGACCCGCCTGAATCTTTGCAAATGCCTAATACTGACCCAAAGGCCTAAGGCTAAAACAATACGCAGCAATGCCAGTGTGTTTGAAATCCACAATGAGTGAAATTCATTCACCTGTTCTTTTGTGTATACAGAGGCAAATGCAGTGTTTACACATTACATATATACTTCATGGATGTATTGTATTATATTCAGAGTTTAGTATTCTGACTTTACAATTTTTCTTTTCACTTTTGTCAACTTTTATCCCGTGTACTAACTTGTAGGTAAAGTATTACTAAATTATCAATGTATAAGATGTTCAAACTTCACTTTTTTATGAGTTTCATTTAATTTATATGAAAGGTAGAGAGACATCTTCTATCTACTAGCTCAGTTGACAAATGCCTGGAACAGCTGTAACTGAGCCAGGCTGAAGCTGGGGATCTAGAACTCAATCGAGGTCTCCCTCGTGGGTGGCAGGGAGCCAAGAACCCAAACCAGCACCTGATGCCTCCCAGGACACACCTGGGCAAGCCGTTAGACTTGAAAGCAGAGCTGGGACTAGATCCAAGGCACTCCGATATGAGAAACAAGCCTCCTGGGAGGCTTGTCCAGCATAGCACCAAGATCCACTCCTAACTCCACTTGTTAATGAATCCTTGACCAGCTGATCCAGCTCTACAGCTTGAACAAAGTATCTGTTTGGATCCGCAAGGCATACATGATATTTGATAGTTATGCCTGCTTCTGCTCATGACATTTCTGTACGTGTCGTCTATTCTGCATGTCAACCAATCTGCAAGGTGATAAAATATAGGTTTATGGAACTCTGGAATGTCTGGCCCTGTGTTCCTCATGCCTGCAATCCCTTTTGCGATGAGCAATAAGACTCATCATCAATAAGCAAAGACACAATTACAGACCACACGGTAGATAAACGAGTTGTTCAAGCTCATATAACCACCAGTTAATGCTCGGCAGGGTCAAATACCAGCCCTTGTCACCCCAAACCCATGGCCTGAAGCACTGTTTCTGTGTCGAGTGCTCTTCTGTGAGAGATGAGAGGCCAACAAGGGGACACTCACCCACAGTCCTGTGCTCAGTAAGTAGGGCTGAGTAACTGGGACCCTCCTTCGGCGGCTCCATTGTCATCCAGCCATCCTGTTAGTATGCTTTCTCTTCTGTGTGACTTATTTCTGAAGCTCAGTAAGGAGCTGCCTCAGTAATGGCAAACCAGAAGGAACACAGGAGACAGGAAAAAAAAAAGCACAGGATGAGATGGGACCAACATTCATGTCCTGCTACATTTCCAGGTGCTGTTTCAGGTCCTGTGTTTTGTGGGGCAGAGGAGGCAGGGTGGGCTGGGAGTAACACAGAACAAGGTCCTACTAAGTGTCAGACGTTCTTTCAGACCAGGCTCAGACCCACAGAAGGTCCGCACCTTTCTTAGGGCCATACATGTCTCCTCTGTCTGCTCAGGCCACCCTGCAGCCTCCCGCACAGATGACGGCTTTCAGCCCCCAGCTTAAGCACTGATAGTGGGACACTACCTTCATGTGGATCCTGGGCTTTGTAATGCCCTCGCTGATGACGGTGATGGTGGGACGAAATCCTGCCCCATGGGCTAAGAGGGCTGGGTGTGGCCACCATGTGGATGGTCTTTTCGTGAGATGTGGAACTGCACCCAGGAAGCAGCACAAGCTCTTGTCCTTTGAGAAGGCAGCCAACCGCCAAGCTGCTCACGTGCACACACCTACTGCAGGGAGGGAGTTTCACACTCCATCCCATCTTAATCCTCAGAGTGCCCAGGACCAGTCATCAGCCTGGGATGCCGACATCCCATATGGGTGGTGTTTCAAGTCCCTGCTGCTCCACTTCTGATCTAGCTCACTACTAATGTGCCTGGGAAAGCAGTGGAGGGTGGCCCAAGTGCTTGGACCCCTGAACCCACATGGGAGGCCTGGGAGAAGCTCCTGGTACAGCATCTGCAGTTGAGGCCATTTGGGGAGTGAACCAGCAGATGAAAGGCCTCTCTATTTCTGTCTCCCTCTCTAACTCTGCCTGTCAAGTAAATAAATTAATCTTTAACAACAACAACAACAACAACAGGTTATTTGACAATGTATGTGTGTTCATAAGTGTTTCTGTGTCTCACCCTTCTTCACCAGCAGGTTTCTATTCAGTTCACAAACAGGCTGGACTGGTAGTCCAAGGACTTAAATACTGCAGTGTGACATGAATATAACAGGATCATGACAGGTGTGTAGAAAATTCCACAAAGCTTCGGTCTATGCAGTGGAATCCCCTAACCTTGGCTTAGCCCCTGGTTGAGACCTCACTCCTGCAGTTCTGACTCTGACCACCAGGTGGCAGATACCCATATCTAGAGGTTATTTTCACCACACAAAAAGCCATATTTTTTCTGCCTCAGGAAAGACCTGCTCTCCCAGGAAAGGGGCCTTGGATAAAAAGAGCAGAGGCTGAATTCTCAAAGACCAGCACAGGAGTAGAGCCCCTGACCCAACACCTCATTCTCCTGCTGTAGTGAAATGGTTTTCACAGACTTCTCCCCAATATCCCCCACTCCAGCTTTCCTCTTACAAGAGGCAGCCTGGCGCCTTGCTGGAGGAAATGTCACACAGTAAAACCGCTGGAGAGGGGACTTGATGCTAACCACCGCAATTACCCAGGTACACACTCCTGAACCAGCAATCCCTATTCTAAGAATCTATCCCAAAACATAATGCAAAAAGGTAGAAAGCCTAAGCCCAGGGGCCTTCCTGGGAGTACAACTGTGAGAGCTGCCCACCAATAAGGGGCAGGAAAGGAACTGAGGCACGTCTACACCTGAGTACTACGGGTACTGCTATGGAGTGCTCTCCAGACATGCTGTTCAGTGAAAACCAGGCACAGATAGGAGTGTCCGCGTGGCTGTCCCGTACAGCAGCTACCGAAAGGTCACATTTAAATGATGAACTCAGCACGTCGTCTCGCACCATACTTCCTGTGCCACAGGCAGCTATGGGTCCTCTGCCAGACAATACAGAACATTTGAATTTCTAAAGAAATCTCTGCTGCACAGCATTGATGTGCAACAAGCCACCCTTTCCCTGTGAACAGGGGAGAAGATGGATATATATATATATACGGCATAGCTGGAAGAAATACGTGGGGCCAGCATTTGGCACTGGTTCATCTGCTGTTTCAGATGCCCATGTGCCACAGCAGGGTCCTGAATTTGTGTTCCAGGGCTCTGCACGCCATTCCTGCTTCCTGCTAACACACACCCTGGGAGGCAGCAGATGGTCCAAGCGGTCAGGCCCTTGCTGGCCACTGGAAAACCTGCGCATTTTCAGCTACTGCTGTAGGCCTGTTCAGCCCTGGAGGATGTGAGCATTTGGGTGCAAATAACTGATGGCAGAGCTCTGTCTGCATCTCAAAGTAGAAGAAACAGAAAGCCTGATAAACATGATCCCCATAAGGGGATGGAGAAGGATGCCTATGCTCCTAAAGCTACAACACAGATGTTCTGGCTCCGTGCACTGAAATGACAACAATGCCCAAGACGGTAACTATGGTAACTCCACTAAACCACTGTCCATGAAAGCAACCAGGCTTCTCTGGAGAAATGGTCGATTCCAGGACTAGGGTCAACACAGTACCAGATGACTCACAATCAAGATGGCATACGAGATACTCTATTAGGAAGTTCAGAAGCCCACCCAAAGGACAGCATTTCACTTTGTGCAGGAAAAGATGAGAGACTGTAATGGATTACTACCCATCAGATATATAAGCAGAAGGGACATTTTATAAGGGACAGATGAGGCGGGCGACACGCAGACCCAGGGAGCACCCTCCTGGTCCCTGGGACAGACAAGCAGCAACAATGAGCCTCCTGCATCAGCACTCGCAGAGGGAAGAAACACCACCGCCCCTGAGGTGCTCTTGCACAGAAACCTGCACCTGACCCAGCCTTAACCCTGGATGTCAATGCCACTAAACAGCAGTGCTCAGAGAAAGCCAAACCACACAGCAAGAGTATAAGCCAGAGTTGGCATTGTGGTGCAGTGGGTACAGCCACTACTTTAACACCAGCATCCCAAATGAGGGCTGCTTCCAGGGCTAACTACTCCACTTCTAATCTATTTGCATCCTAATGTGAAAGGGAAAGCAGCCTCAGGCAGCCCAGGTGCATCAGCCCCTGAAGCCCACGTGGGAGACCCAGGTGGAGTCTAGGCTCCTAGGGCCGCCCAGACCATTTCTGGGGAGTGAACCAGAGGTTGAAACATCTGCCTCTATCTCTTGCTTGCTCAGTCTCACTCTTAGCAACTCTGCCTTTCATATAAGTAAATTTTTTTTAAAGATTTGTTTATTTGAAAGGCAGAGTTACAGAGAAGCAGATGGAGAGACGTCTTCCATTTGCTGGTCCTCTCCCCAGATGGATTCAACAGCCAGAGCTGTGCTAATCAGGAGCCAGGAGCTTCTGGGTCTCCCACGTGCATGCAGGGGCCCAAGCACTTGAGCCATCTTCTACTGCTTTCACAGGCCCTAGCAGAGAGCTGGATCAGAAGTGGAGCAGCTGGGACTCAAACCGGCGCCCATATGGGATGCCGGCACTGCAGCCACCGGCTCTACCCACTTATCCACGGTGATGTCCCCAAAAACTATCCTTGTGTAGAAAGCAGCACCAGTACACTACACTCTCCATTCCTCATGAGACAGCCCCATGAGACCCACAGCAGGCCAGGGCCGGGGCAGAGGTGGAGGTGGGATCCTTTCTCTCCACACGCTGTAGGGGCTTCACTCCCCACCAAGGTTAGACTCAGAGCCGCTGCTGTGTCCACACATCTGAAGGTGGAAGCCCTCTCACACAAGGCCATGTGGATTGCCTTAAAAGTAGTCAACGTCTGGCCGGCGCCGCGGCTCACTAGGCTAATCCTCTGCCTTGCGGCGCCGGCACACCGGGTTCTAGTCCCAGTCGGGGCGCTGGATTCTGTCCCGGTTGCCCCTCTTCCAGGCCAGCTCTCTGCTGTGGCCCGGGAGTGCAGTGGAGGATGGCCCAAGTGCTTGGGCCCTGCACCCCATGGGAGACCAGGAGAAGCACCTGGCTCCTGCCTTCGGATTAGCGTGGTGCGCCGGCCGCAGCGCGCCAGCCGTGGCGGCCATTGGAGGGTGAACCAACGGCAAAGGAAGACCTTTCTCTCTGTCTCTCTCTCTCACTGTCCACTCTGCCTGTCAAAAAAAAAAAAAAAAAAGTCAACGTCCACAAAGCCACCATGATGAGTTTCAGAGATAAATGCAATTAACAGGCTGCTAGTCCACTCAGGAAATGCCTCCTTAAATCCCTGTTACTTGGTCTTTCCATGAAAAAGGCCTGTGCCACCACCTGAGAGAGCTTACTAAGCAGAGGCCCTAGGCTGCAGCACCTGGGGGCAGTGAGCCTGCCCCAGCACAGCCCTGCTGCCGGGAAGTTCACCTGAAAACGGATGCTGGGGAGGACTCCCCGGGCACGGACCCAGGGAGCTGTCCTTGCACGCCTGGCTCTTCCTAGTGGGGCAAAGCCACCCCCAACGCAAAATGTGCCCTCAGCCGAGCAGTTCGTCTCTGGGCCTCTGTCCACACCTTGCTCGTCTTGCAACAAGGCCTGCTTCCCTGTCACCCAGAAAGCTGCTTGCCGGCTGCTGCGGGCTCTCCAGGCCGGAGGCGCAGCCACAAAGGTGAACGCCCTGCGAGCTCTGGGCCCTGCACCAGAAGCCCCCGTCGCACCCCCAACAGCCGAACTATGGCCGCGCACCCTCTGAGCCCTCTGGCTGCTGCTGGAGTGGTTCTGCAGGCACAGCCCTTGGCCGGCCGGCCGCCCTCCGGGAAGTGAAACGGCACCCCAGCCCCGTGGGCTGTGCCTTCTTGTTCCTTCACCTACACAGCTCCTCTTCTTCACCGCCTTCCCCCTCCCTTTGGCCCTGACCCCATGGCCCCTTAGGCCCCAGCGCTTCCTCCTTAAGGCTGATTGCTTCCCGGAGAACACCCGGTGAGCACGCACCTCCAGCCATTGGCAAACTTCCTCTCTGGAAAGGCCTAAACCCCAGCCGGGCTCTCCTGAGCAGCAGCCCCGTGCTCGAGGCAGGCCCTGAGGGGGCCCTGTCACATCACTCAGCATGCCGAGCGGCTGCCCGGCGCTAGCACAGATGAGGAGACGCTAACCACCCGGCTCCGCTAACCACGGGCTCCGTGTACGGGAACACAGAAACAGCGTCACTGAAGGGATCTCACAGTCTCCTCCGGAGGCAGATACCTGGTCAACCCCACCGTACATTAGCTGATCCCAGGAATTCTCATCCCTCCTTCCTGATATTTCCCCCACCTGACGGACATTCAACACCAAGAGACACCCAGCGGGGCTTTCCGGAGGGCCCATACAGTTTAAGGACCCTGTGGCTTCCTGCACCTGCAAGCCTCTCTGGCCACTCCTGATTGGCTCCTGCTTCTCGCCAGGCCCCGCCCACCAAGGACCTGTTTCAGAACGCTGCTAACTCCCCTAGGTCCCCTGAGCGCCATGGTAGACCACTGCGGATTGGTTCCTCGCTGAGCCAATTGCATGTTGGTTTTCCTGACTCCCTGATTTGTTCACACAGAATTCCTCTTTAGCATACAGTTCGACCAATCATCAAACTTCCTCCCTGAGAGACTGAACCCTCAGAGCCTGGCATGCTGAGCAGGTCGTCCTGGTGGCCAGAGCTCAGTGGTTCCTGGCGTGCCTCGGTCTTCCTGGTGAGGAGAAGAGACCTGGCAGGGGAGAGCAGCTCCAGCAGAAGAGTCCAGCAGTCCTCAGGAATCAGCACAGAGGAGCAGGTGTGACCCAACGCGTGAGGAGGGGCTGGAACAGAGCTGTAAGAGACAGCTGTTAACAGTTCTCCAGCACCCAGACCTGTAACACAGACAGACAGCTGTAACATGGGCGCTGTCTGTGCCTAGCCACTCTTGAGGAGCAGTAACCATCAATGACGGGGGAATGGTCAGGAGCGAGGATTTGCTGCCTAACCAATTAGCATAAAGGAACTGAAGGCCCAGGAAACAGCTAGCCCACAGGGTTTTAGTCCAGGGTTGATGCACAAGGCACAGTTGTGGAGAAACACCCCAGGGGGCGGGGGTCTGATCACATGACAGTAAAGTAGAGGACACTCACCCAGGCCCGCGGGCTCAGATGGTTCTCCGTGTCCCTTCATTCAGAGATAAGGATGGCCCCGTCCTCTGGGGACAGAGGGACCTGTCCTGTGAGCATCCTAGTTGCTCTTGAGGGGAAGGGAAGAAAATCCCAGCTAAGGCGGATGACCTGCTTCAGGGAGCGGAGTGAGAATGGGTTCCCTGCTTCTACCATTTTCTCAAAGCTTACGACATTCTGCATGCCAGAGTGTCACATTTTGGAGTAGTTATTCCTGAACCCCATCAGTACAAACGAGAATGTTCACAGCACCAGATTCAGAAGTTGAGAACAGGAGCTGGCACTGTGGTAGAGCAGGTAAAGCCGCCTCCTGCAGCACAGGCATCCCTATCGGCACCGGGTCGAGATCTGGCTGCTCCTCTTCCGATCCAGCTCTCTGCTGTGGCCTGGGAAAACAGTAGAAGATGGCCCATGTCCTTGGACCCCTGCACCTGCGTGGGAGACCTGGAAGAAGCTCCTGCCTCCTGGCTTCGGATCGGCCCAGCTCTGGCCATTGCAGTCAGTTGGAGAGTGAACCAGCTGATGGAAGACCTCTCTCTCTCTCTGCCTCTCCTCTGTGTAACTCTGCTCTCAAATAAATAATAAATTATCTTTAACAATAAGAAGTTGATCGAGTCATTGCTTCTCATCAATGACTTGATCAGCCCTTGTCCTGACTGTCGAGGAACAGCTTATTTTATTTTTCTCACTATTTTCTTTTTCTACTTAATATATTGGTTGAACTCTTAACACAGAATTATTCGTAGGTGATTAAATCATATTGAAAATTGATCCCAGTAAAAAATAAGAGTGGGAATAAGAGATGGAGGATGTGTACAGTTAACGACACGTTCCCATGGACTTACCCCTAAGGTTATTAATGGGACTCCAAATCCCATTAAGCTGAGTGGTACTAATGCCAACTTCCATGTCAAAGTGATCATTTTAAGTGCATAAGTGATCTTAAAGATGGGAATAATTGTCAAAGGAGAGTTTAATTACAACGTGTCGTGGTGAGGATCTCTTTTGGTCGTGTTTATTAGGGGTTCTGTGAGCTTCCTGTACTAGGATTTCTCTGTCCTTCTCCAAACCTGGGAAATTTTCTGCTAATATCTCACTAAAAAGGCCTTCTAATCCTTTCTCCCTCTCCATGCCTTCAGGAACTCCTAGAACCCGAATGTTGGTTTTTTTAATAGTATCCTGTAGATTCCCAACAATATTTTTTAAATTTCTAATTTCCTCTTCTTTTCTTTGGTCTGACTGTATCCTTTCCTGTTCTCTGTCTTCTAAGTCTGATATTCTCTCTTCTGCTTCACCCATTCTGTTTGTAAGGCTCTCTATTGTGTTTTTCATTTGATCTATTGAATTCTTCACTTCAGTCACTATCACAGTTTCCTGTTGTACTAGTTGTTTCGTTTCGTTTCATTTTTATTCCTCCTTAATATTTCATTTTCACGAGAGAGATTTTCTATCTTGTCCATTAAGGATTTCTGTAGTTCAAGAATTTGTTTTTGAGAACTTCTTAATGTTCTTATCAATTTTTTGAGATCTGCTTCTTGCATTTCTTCTATGTCATCATCTTCATAATCTTGAATTGGGGTGTCTTTTTATTTGAGGGCGTCATGGTGACTTCCTTGTTTTTATTGCCTCGGTTTTTGCGTTTGTTATTTGGCATATTGGAGATATTTGGTTTCTTCACTGTGGTGCTTTTTCTTGTTATACTATGACTCTAGATTAAGTGGACTATCTGTTTTTGATGGAGCCTTAGGGCTTGAGATGGGTGTGGCCTGAGAGCTCTGTTTGGTGTGCCAAAGGTGACACTCCCAGGTTAGGAGTGGTAAATCTCTCTCTCTCTCTTTCTTTTTTTTTGATTCAAAAGGGAAGTAATTCCGCACAGCTGAGCGAAGTTGGAGGTAGTTAGCAGGCAAATGATATACCCACAGGAGCCAGAGATCGGAAGCTCTTTCCCAAGGACCACACAGGGAATCTGTTCGGCCCTCAGAGTGGGCTCAAATTCTCCTTCAGTCTCCCACTGGGTTGCCAAAGTTACGGAATTGTAGCGTCTCTGGAGAGTGCTCACGTGAATTCCGTGAGTTCTCTCCCCCACCGTCTCTTTTTTCACAGTCTCAGTTCAGTAGCACCACAAATTTACTAGGTCCTAATCTCCTGTTAATTCGCCCCACCCAGAGTCAGGTTTTTCTGCTAGGCTCAGGGCCGGTGCAGACCTGAGGTCGCTCTGCTTATGACGTATGTCCAAGATGGCGCCTGCTCTTTGTCTTGCTCGCGCTTGAGAGGTGAGCGGAGAGAGAGAAACCCGTGTCCGTACCAGTCACCTTTTTTTTTTCTCTCTCTCTCTCTTCCAGTTAGCCTGGTGAACTTCCCCCCCCCCCCCGGGGTCGTTCCCTCTAGTCTCCTCTCTCCGCTTGCCTGCCGGTGTCTTGGGCTATTGAGGTTCGGCTCACCTCGCGTTCCAGCGCTGGTGTGTTGAGTCTGCCGCTGGTGTCCCGAACTGTGGGCTCCCACACTCTCCACGCAGGTCTGCTGTGAGTCACGCGTTCCGGAAGAGTTTCTTCTGCTGTTTCCTCCCCTACTCTTCCTTGAACCTGCAGTATCTCCACTTTTATTAAACTATCTCTCCCCGGAATATCAGTGTGCTCCCTTCCTATTCCGCCATCTTGCCTCCTCCCTCCCATTCTTGTGCAACAAAAACAAAGCCGGAGGCATCACAATACCAGATTTCAGGACATACTACAGGGCAGTTGTAATCAAAACAGCATGGTACTGGTACAGAAACAGATGGATAGACCAATGGAACAGAATTGAAACACCAGAAATCAACCCAAACATCTATAGCCAACTTATATTTGATCAAGGATCTAAAACTAATTCCTGGATCAAGGACAGTCTATTCAATAAATGGTGCTGGGAAAATTGGATTTCCACATGCAGAATCATGAAGCAAGACCCCTACCTTACACCTTACACAAAAATCCACTCAACATGGATTAAAGACCTAAATCTACGACCTGACGCCATCAGGTTACTAGAGAACATTGGAGAAACCCTTCAAGATATTGGCACAGGCAAAGAATTTCTGGAAAAGACCCGGGAGGCACAGGCAGTCAAAGCCAAAATCAACTATTGGGATTGCATCAAATTGAGAAGTTTCTGTACTGCAAAAGAAACAGTCAGGAGAGTGAAGAGACAACCGACAGAATGGGAAAAAATATTTGCAAACTATGCAACAGATAAAGGGTTAATAACCAGAATCTACAAAGAGATCAAGAAACTCCACAAAAACAAAACCAACAACCCACTTAAAGAGATGGGTCAAGGACCTCAATAGACACTTTTCAAAAGAGGAAACCCAAATGGCCAACAGGCACATGAAAAAATGTTCAAGGTCATTAGCAATCAGGGAAATGCAAATCAAAACCACAATGAGGTTTCACCTCACCCCGGTTAGAATGGCTCACATGCAGAAATCTACCAACAACAGATGCTGGCGAGGATGTGGGGAAAAAGGGACACTAACCCACTGTTGGTGGGAATGCAAACTGGTCAAGCCACTATGGAAGTCACTCTGGAGATTCCTCAGAAACCTGAAGATAACCCTACCGTTCGACCCAGCCATCCCACTCCTTGGAATTTACCCAAAGGAATTTAAATTGGCAAACAAAAAAGAGGTCTGCACCCTAATGTTTATTGCAGCTCAATTCACAATAGCTAAGACCTGGAACCAACCTAAATGCCCATCAACGGTAGACTGGATAAAGAAATTATGGGATATGTACTCTTTAGAATACTATACCGCGGTAAGAAACAATGAAATCCAGTCATTTGCAACAAAATGGAGGAATCTGGAACACATCATGCTGAGTGAACTAAGCCAGTCCCAAAGGGACAAATACCATATGTTCGCCCTGATCGGTGACAACTGACTGAACACCAAAAAAAGAAAACCTCCTGAAGTGAAATGGACACTATGAGAAACAGTGACTTGATCAGCATGGCCCTGACTGTTGGTGGGCAACTTGGTACGTTGTCCCTCTTGGTAGTTTTTTTGTCTGTTCTGCTTGGTATGACTGGTTTAATTCTGTAGTTAATACACAGTTATTATTAAGTGTTGAAATCCAAAAGAAATGTGATCCCTGCCAAACATTAGAGTGGGAATAAGAGAGGGAAGAGATGTACAATTTGGGACATGCTCAAGCTGACTTGCCCCATATGGTAGAGTTACAAACTTACCAGGGGATTTCAATTCAATCCCATCAAGGTGGCATGTTCCAATGCCATCTCACTATTCCAAGTGATCAATTTCAGTTCACAATTAATCATAATGAAAGGACTAAGAGTCAAAAGGGGGCACATAAACAAGTCTAATACCTGATAACACTACACGAGGAATAAATAAAGGGGAGAGT